TGCCTCTTCTTTATGGCAACCCCTGAGATATTGGAAGACTGCTATCATGTCACCCCTAGTCCTTCTTTTCATAAACTAGACATACCCAGTTCCTGCAACCGTTCTTTGTATGTTTTAGCCTCCAGTCCCCTAATCATCTTTGTTGCTCTTCTCTGCACTCTTCCTAGAGTCTCAGCATCTTTTTTACATCGTGGTGACCAAAACTGAATGCAGTGTTCAGTGTACCCTTACCAAGGCCTTATAAAGTGGTGTTGGCTTTTTTGGCAGCTGTTGCACATGGCTGGCTCGTATTTAAATGGTTGTCCATATTGTCAGAGGCAATCAAATATTTGGTCTAATTCTGTTTTTCCCTTTTCTCCAGGCCAAGTTATCACTTACCAGTTAAGCTACGTAAAACCTTTTGGAGCCAGCTTCAAAGTAACCCCAGAAACTACTGAAACGGAGGTCAATTTTAAGGAATGTTTTCAGATCAATGGGACGTCTGAGAATCCCGTTACACCTCAAAGCGTGTTTCCTAACTTAACAGACTTCCAGGTGAGGCTTTTTTGGTCCATCTCCTCATCTCTCTGAGTTCTTCGTGTGTCACATCAAACCTGAATTATGTTAACTGTAATTAAGGCATGCACCAAAAATCATGGCTAGATCTCTTCATTTGCTTTTGTGTCCCACCATCTCAGTGTTCATCTGCATAGGTTCCCCCCCCCCATCATAGTTTGTCAATGAACTGTGAAAACAGTGACATCTAACATGAGCTGCTTCCCCAAATGGGAGAGATGAGTGAATGTGTCTCCTCCTTATCATGACATTTCTAATAAATCTGGCTGAGATATGTACATCTCATTTAAATGGGGGAAACTTCTTAAAAGATTTTTTTTTAAATCATGAATTAAGGCTGCAGTGTCTATACTTGCTGACTTTGGAATATTGAAGTCAATTGTAACTATAGTTGCACTGAAAAGTTTGCAGTACAAAGCCACACATATTGTGTAGAGCAGGGGTGTCAAACTCAAATTTCATTGACGGTTGTGTTTGACCTTGGGCGGCCGGGGTGGGTGTGGCCAGGGTGTGTGTGGCCAGCTCAAGGTCACTCATGTCAGGAGGCACCTATTGTGGCCAAGTGCTAAGGCAGGACTTTCTTCAGATCCTCCCTCACTGTCATTATAATATCCTTCCTTCCTTCCTTCCTTCCTTCCTTCCTTCCTTCCTTCCTTCCTTCCTTCCTT